ACACCGTGCATGAAAAGTTGATAGAGAAGCATCAAACTAAATTTAAGGGAAATTTAAAAATGATTCTGTGTCAAGGATATTTGTTGGATGATTGTCAAAGAACCTGAACAGAAGATGGAAGTGCACAGTCAGTCTGTCCTGGTGACAGAAATGGCGCATTTTCAGCCTGTATGCATTCTCACTAAAGTGCAAAAGTGTCAGTCTCTGTGATCAACCCATGGATAGCAGGGGGCACAGATGAGCCTAGCAGGATCCCAGTCCTCCCCCCAACCCAAGGGAGCATTGTGTTTTTACCAAGAGGATGGGTCACAGGAGGCCTAGCCTCCTGCACTAAGGATACCATATTATATAAGAGTAAACCTTTAAAATATGATAATTTAAACATGAACACAAATTTGAGTGTTGTCGTGCCAAGCATTCCTGTTTTCACTACAGCCTTTCAAGGGTCCTGTTCTCAGCACTAGGGCCAGAACCTAATTGAGGCCCTGCTACTGTCTACTGGTTCCACCCGAGCACAGATGGCCTTAACCTTTAACATACGGACTTCTAAATTGCCGGCAGCTCCCTACGGCCGGAATTTAAATGGCCCTAAGTCTTTAACATTGCAAACTTTCAGAAAAAAACGCATATTTTCCGTTCTATGCAACATCGGAATATGAAATAAAAAGAACCTTAAAGACAATAAAATTTTCTACATATACACAAAAGGGCAAGTTTTACAAATGAAAATTAACTGTGATTATTTTGTCATGAAATGCAAAATATAATCATTATTACATATGTTATGAAATTCTAAAGGACTTACCCGTTGTTTTTCTTCAACCTAGAATCATGGTGGTGATGTAAATATGATGAAACTATATACAATAATATTTGGTTCAGACTGTACACAGTTTGGACTGCGTTACTTCACAGTTTACACTCTGACGCACGTGTGCCACTTCTCAAAGCAGTCCACCACACACAGTGCAACATTACACTTTTTACAGCAGAAAAGCGGGCTCCTGCTTTTCTTGTTTATAGAACAAACGTGACGTCTTTGTTTCCCTTTAGCTGGCCAGTGTTTTGAATGTTTCACCTCCAGTTGACTCAGTTGGGCCCCACGTGAACTTGGCCTCCCCCCCCCCCAGAAACGCCACTGACCGTGATATTCGCCTCATGTGATTTAAGAATCAAATCACGCACCAAAATTTCGCGGAATTTTTTGTGCGTCATTTTCCCATCACATGACTTGTGTAACAGATATGCATTGAGAACAGTCATGTCTAGGAGGTGGAAGAATAATTTCTTCGTCCATTTCCATGTCCTCCGAGCAATGCCATAGCTGTTCACCATTCTATCAGATTTGTCCACAAAGCCCATGTGTGCATTGTAGTCTTCAATTACATGAGATTTGATAGCACGGCCAGATTCATCTCGGAAGTTGCCATCCAATGGAGGAGGGTGCATATTCGTCAGAACACACATCACTCTTGTCTTTCCAATGAACAACACTTAGATCCCCCTTCACTCTTGTCACAATATCCCCTTTTTTTAATTTCATCGATTTGGGCCGAATTTCTTGTGGCATTCCACGCCTGTTATTGCGAACGGTGCCACATGTATTTATTTTACGCTCTAGAAGATCGTCATACAATGCAGGGGAACTGAAATAGTTGTCCATATAAAGTTTGTGTCCTGAGCCTTCTACTCTTCGAATAAGTTGGAGAACAATGCCATGGGTTGGCGTAATTTCTTCGGTTACAAGTTGCCTTTGTTTCCCCAAATAAACAGTCATGTCATACGTATAGCCTAGAGAATCACAAAGCGTGTAAATTTTTATTCCAAATCTTTTGTGTTTCTTTGGAATATACTACCGAAAAACCACTCTTCCTTTGAACAGCACTATCACTTCATCAACAGCAAGATGTTCCGATGGATGGTAAAGTTCATAAAATTTGCTGCTAAGATTGTTGAAAATTTTTCTAATCTTCCAGAGCCTATCGTTCTCTGGGTCATCTCGATTTGGAGGAGCTTCATTATTCTCAAAATGCAGGAATCTCAAAATATGGAAGAAACGGTCGCGTACCATGGTGTTATGATAGAATGGAGTGTAGTACTGCTCATCTCTTGACCAATAATCTTTCAGGGTGTCCCACTGATTGTGGCCCATTTGCATTATTATGGCCAAAAATGTTGACATTTCTTTAATTGTGACATCAGGCGGTTGAGCAGAAGGGCCTGGAGCATCTTGGCTTGCCAAAATTGACGAAAATATCTGTTTGTTTCTTGTACCAAGATCTGGAATATATGTTGGAAAAAGAGAATGAAAATGGAAAAGGGAGAGGACTGAGCATTTATATTGGGAGCAGCGGATCTGTTGATTCCACTCGGAAGACCAGTGAAATCTAGTAGCTTTGGCGAATCCCCAGGTCTTCTATCGCGAAACCTGATCTCCCTTTCCCCTCCCTCATTACTTGAGGATGATGATGATAATGACGACATATGCTCGCGAGGTTCAATGACCTCATCGAGTTCTTCCAACTCTTCATCAGATTCATCTTCCATCAATATTTCCTCAAGTTCTTCAGCATCGAAGAGTTTTGAGTATTGGGCTCGTTTTTGAGGTTCCATCTTGGGGGAGGGGGCTTCCAGCTAAATCCTATAATTTATGATGATTGAAAGAGCGAGATTGTTAGGAACACTCGCAAAATTGTGATGCAAAGTAATTCCAATAGCAGTCGAAAAGTGCCAGTCCACCACTGATACCGAAAGTCACAGTGATGAAGATGTCTTTACGCACAAAGTAACACTGGCTCAGTGGGTTTATACCTCTTCCGAGATACACAATAAAAATGATATACAAAGAAATATAGGAGTCTGACACTGACTTCCTAACTAATAACGAAATATTAAAAAATCCGCCACTCAAGTCCTAACTGACAATTCAACACTGCAAACCAAACCCTGAATGCATCACACGTTCTTGAAAGCTCTGGTAACACTGATATGCAGGCGTCCGCGAATATTTCCTCCTCTAAGTTCTCAAAACAAAGCTGACCTCTATTGGCTCACCAGGTCATAAACAGTCATATCTAAACGTATATAGTTTCGAAACCAGTACCCCGATAAATGATTTCATTGTTCAGAGCTAACAAATCAATGTCTGACATGAACGTTCATGAGTTTGTATGGGTTTCAAACCCAAGGTCAAACTGCCAGCACTCACAAAGGAAGCACGTGGCTTGCCTCTAAAAATTATACGACCAGCTCCCTTGCTACTTGCTGCCAATAATTATAACATTCAGCCATTAAATATACTGAACAGAGCAAAAACACGCTTCACAAATGTTGTGTATTCATACACCAGGGCCCAATCTGAATATCCAAACATTTTCTATTGCAAATCCACTACATTAAAATAAGACTCTTATGCTGATCACAACCAAAATAGACAAATTCTATTGATACCTGGGGCCTCAGACGAAGTCTTCTCAAAGTATAATCTCAGCATTCATTCATTCATTTATTCACATTCCATAAAATCCTTACATGGTTTAAACAACCAACAGATACAGAAATCGTCAAGTAGTATGAACTCATCTTGCTTATAAATCATGCAGTTGTCAATATGTTTGCAACATAAAACAAGTTTAAAAGTTTACACAGTATCACAGTAATCAATATACAATATAATATAATGGTGATAAGTAATATGGATAATAATATTGACAACTAATCAGATAAGAAGTATTATTACAGGTAAATTAAGTTACTTGGTCAATTTCACGTCATTCTTTCCATAAAATCCTTACACGGTTACACAACCAACAGATATAGAAATCGCCCAGTAGTATAAACTCATCTTGCTTATAAATCAAGCAGCTGTCAATTTGTTTGTAATATAAATCTAATTAAAAAGTTAAATATATAAATTACCCTTTGCATAATGTTGCCATTGTCATCTATTAAAATATTCCTCCAATGTATAAAAGGAGTTCACAAATAAAAACTCTTTTAAACTGGCTTTAAACTTATTTGCATTATTTGAGATTATTTTGATTGTATTTGGAAGTCCATTATAAATCCTTGCAGCCATGTGATAAACCCCATTCCTATATTTCGCCAAATTGACCTGGTACATATGTATATTCATATTTTGTCTAGTATCTTTTTCATAGCAATCCTTATTTATATTAAATATTTCTTTATTATTTATTACAAACATAATTAATAAGTATATGTACTGTGATCTTAGGGGCAGTATGTTCATATCCCTAAAATGTTCTCTACATGACTTTCTAAGATCACAGCCTTTGATCAATCTTATGACTCTTTTACAATTTGAAAACCCTTTCGGCATGCGATGAGTTTCCCCAGAATATCAGGCCATACGTCATAACCGAATGGAAATATGAGTAGTAGATACTTTTTAATATTTTCATAGATACTACTGGTTTTATATTTCTGATCATGTAACAGGCTGTAGTCAATTTCTTTGTTACCTCATCAATATGTCTTTCCCAGGTCATAGCGTTTTCAATGGTCAGTCCAAGAAATTTAGTATGATTTGTTTTTGTAATAATTGTTACTAAATCTCCTATATCCCTTTGTACCTGGTTTTTTGCAGTAAAGTTTATATTGTGACATGTTGCGCAACGGAGAAGCCCCCCTCCAGCAGTGACGTGGCGGATGAGTCAGCGCTCCCCTCCCACCCCACCGCACGGTAACATAAGACGGCGTGAGGTAACAGCTTTGCTACGTAACAGGCCCACACAGCCCCTATATGAGAGAGCTGTGCTGCCTGCGGAGTCAGTTGTGACGTAGCAGTCGCCGAGTTGAGTTGTAACGTAGCAGTCGGCCAGTTTAGTTGTAATGTGGCTATCGCCGAGTTCAGTTCCGAGTTAGTTCCGAGCAAGCCTACGAGCGAATGTTATCAACAGTTCTCAAGGTAGCAGCCTGCGAGTCGAGTTGAAATATAGCAGCAGTCGTGATAAGAAGACCCGAATGCGTGGTTACAAGATTTTATGCGACAGTGTGCAATAACTAAGAAGTCAGCGAGCGGAAGACTTATTGTGTGCTTTCGAGACTTAGTGAATGCTGTAGTACAGTTACATTGGTGTCAGAAGTGCGATCGAACTTACACAAGTGACAAATAATTGAATTATTGTGCATCGAGTGGTTTACTACTACAACAGGGACATGGAAAAGGTGATGGAACGTCTGTTGTTCGCCCAGGAGCAAATGGCGGCAAGACAGAAAGCCGATAGGGAGGAAGAGAGGAGGAGATGGAGGAATGTAGGAGGAAAGAGAAGGAAGAGATGGAGGATGTAGGAGGAAAGAGAAGGAAGAGATGGAGGAAAATAGGAAGAAAGACAGAGAAGATTTCTTGGCCAAATTAGACCCCGATAGGAAAACTGACAAAGAGGAAATGCTGGCAAGAATGGACGCCAGCATAAAACCCATCAAAAAAATGAGGGCAAACCAAGTAAGAGCAGATGCTGACCGCGTGCACATGCAAGAAATGTTCCGCATCCATCAAGAAAAGGCGGAAGCAAATAGGAAAAAAGACAGAGAAGACTTCCTGGCAAAATTAGGCGTCAACCAAAACAAATCGACGTCATGCTGACAAAATTAGATGCCGACTTCAATGCCTGGCAGGAAGAAACGACAGCCTGCCAGGATGCAACAGAGAAAAATCCAAGAGGAAAAGCGGTTGTAGTTAACCGACAGTCAATTCCTAACGAAGACAATGAGATGTTGACCTGCCAAGCAAGAACGGCACAACAAGAAGAGGTCCCCGAAATAATACCGGTCGGAGGGACGACGGCCTGCCTAGTAATGGAGGCACATCAAGAAGAAGATCCGGCCTCAGCGAACAGGAAACCTGAGGCGGCAGATCTACGAGAGGTACCCGTAAAAGACGCCGAAGTGATGCCGGTCGGAGAACTGATGAAGAAAAGGCGGAGGGACAGAAAGCGACGAATTATGAAGAACCCGACGCGGGAAAATTGCGGACCCCAGAATAAATTGGCCGTCGTTCGCAGGAAAGTGTTCCGCCATGCAACAGTGGCCTGGCGTCGAAGAAACATCTTCAATAAATCGTGGACCCAAGGAGATCATGTGTCCCGGATAAAGTTGGCTGCCACCTGCAGGAAGATATCCTGTCGCGCGACAGTGGCACGACGTTGGAGAAATGCCTCCAAGAAGGAAACTCCCAAGGGAACCTTCGGATGCCGGAGAAAGGACTTGGCGCCACGGTCTCGCGCCAGGAAGAGGTGGGAAGTCCAGAAGGAACGACGTCAGCGAGTGCAAACAACGCAGCAAGAGCTGTTACATCGACATAAGGAACCTCCGAAGAAAGAAATGATCAAGGAATGGACCTTATGGAGAGGATGACCCCCTCCAAAACGGAAAAAAAGACTTCAAGCAGAGGAGGAACCGGTAATGTAGAAGAACCGGCCTCCCCAGAGAGTGAATGTGCCATGTGAGAAAGCGATGGATGAATGGGATACAACTGGATCTTCTGGCGAGCTGAAAGGAAACCGCTCGAGACGAATTGGTCTTAAGAGGGGAGCGGTTGTAACGGCCGGAGAACAGATGCTGCAAGAACAGCCCCGAAGCAAAGGAACGGGAATGCACCGTTAGGCTATTCGGGACGAACAGCCTTAAGAAGGGAGCAGTGTGACATGTTGCGCAACGGAGAAGCCCCCTCCAGCAGTGACGTGGCGGATGAGTCAGCGCTCCCCTCCCACCCCACCGCACGGTAAAGTAACGCGCAATGCGCGGTGACGCAAGACGGCGTTAGGTAACAGCTTTGCTACGTAACAGGCCCACACAGCCCCTATATGAGAGAGCTGCGCTGCCTGCGGAGTCAGTTGTAACGTAGCAGTCGGCCAGTTTAGTTGTAATGTGGCTATCGCCGAGTTCAGTTCCGAGTTAGTTCCGAGCAAGCCTACTAGCGAGTGTTATCAACAGTTCTCAAGGTAGCAGCCTGCGAGTCGAGTTGAAATATAGCAGCAGTCGCGATAAGAAGACCCGAATGCGTGGTTACAAGATTTTATGCGACAGTGTGCNAATGGTAGTTCTCTGAAATCTATCCTGTAGGTATGATTTGTAGAGGTTGTACTGTTTATCCTTTATTCCATAATACTTTAATTTATTAAGTAATACTGTATGACTAACACAGTCAAAAGCCTTTTCCAGGTCACAAAATATCTCACTGACTAGCATTTTATTATTTAGTGAATTTAATATTCCAGAAATAAGTCTAAAAATACCATTTTCAGTCCCTTGTTTTTCTATAAATCCAGACTGATGGTTACTTAATATGCTGTTGTCATTTAAATGTTTTAATAAACTACTATACATTACCTTCTCAAATATTTTACTTTTAGATGTCAAGATGGAAATATGTCTGTAGTTAGATACCCTGTTTTTATCACCTTTTTTATATACTGGTAACACTGTAGCATATTTTAATCTATCAGGAAATACTCCTTCAAACAATATCCTGTTACATAAGTAACTTAAAGGAACACTAATAAAGCATATTCACTCAACTCATTGCCTGACATTGTTATGCTGCTACACCTGACAGCCCAATACAAATTTAAATGCTGCAAACCAAAAGT